ACCCCATCTCTACTAAAAATACAAAAAGAAATTAGCTGGGCATGGTGGTGGGCACCTGTAGTCCCAGCTACTCTGAAGGCTGAGGCAGGAGAATGGTGTGAACCCGGGAGGCGGAGCTTGCAGTTAGCTGAGATCGCACCACTGCACTCCAGCCTGGGTGACAGAGCGAGACTCCATCTCAAAAAAAAAAAAAAAAAGAAATGTAGGGCATTCCAGGCTGGGCGCTGGCTTACACCTGTAATCCCAGGACTGTGGGAGGCCAAGGCAGGCAGGTTGCTTGAGCCCGGGTGCTCAAGACCAGCCTGAGAAACATGGCAAAACCCTATTTCTACCAAAAAAATACAAAAATTATCCACGCATGGTGGCTCACGCCTATGTTCCCAGTTACTCAGGAGGCTGAGGTAGGAGGATCGCTTGAGCCCAGATAGGCCTGGAAACCCTGGCCACAACCCTGGCACTGTCAGGAGCAACTTGCTCTCGGCCTGCAGACTCATCTCTCAGAACCCACTCTGGCTTTTAGGATAGCTTTGGAATTACTGGTCTATGATTACACATGGCCTGTATGTTCTTGCTCAAGACTTAGACGTGCCCTGGTTTCCTTGGCATTCAGCATCCTGGGCCTTGTGGTGTTGCAGTGGTTGTTTTGGATTGCTCCTCTTAGTCTCAGCCTCAGAGGGGACCTCTGTGGATGCTACCGCAGGTTCCTTGTTGAGGGCATGCAGCCTCTTAGTTCCTCCGGCCCACTGTCTGACAAGGCAGCCTGCACCTTGGCCTTCTGGGCTCTGACCCTTGCTGGGAACCATTACTCTTGATTGTCCTGATGGATGGGATTGGGGGGCTAGAAAATCCCCAAATATCTCCCCAACCTTCTTTCTTTGGTTTTATTCTGTGTGGGGTGATGCTGTTGGCAGTGGTGCCCAACCCCCCATGTCCTTCAGGCTCAGTGCAGGAGTGGCCACCAGGCCAGCTATCAGGATACAGGCTCTGCTTCCCTGTCTATTTGCACATGGAACTTCTGCAAAAGATTCAATTAAAGAAAGAATTACATAACTTGGCTGGGCACAGTGGCTCAAGCCTGTAATCCCAGCACTCTGGGAGGCTGAGACGGGCGGATCACAAGGTCAGGAGATCGAGACCATCCTGGCTAACACGGTGAAACCCCGTCTCTACTAAAAAAATACAAAAAAAAAAAAAGACTAGCCAGGCGAGGTGGTGGGTGCCTGTAGTCCCAGCTACTTGGGAGGCTGAGACAGGAGAATGGCATAAACCCGGGAGGCGGAACTTGCAGTGAGCCGAGATCCGGCCACTGCACTCCAGCCTGGGCGACAGAGCGAGACTCTGTCTCAAAAAAAAAAAAAAAACAACAACAACAACATAAAGGTGACAAAAAGAAGAGGTTGAAAATTAGTTCTTTGGGCACACACATAGGAGCTGCCTGACTGGAGCTATGCCAGGTCCAGAGAGAATGTTCTTGGACATACACTGGCTGGCACCACACAAATGCTACTGATGGTGAGGCTATCTGTTTGGGACTACCCTTTTCATGAACTTTTTTGAACACCTACTTTATGCCATGCTCAGGGAAGAGTCGTTTGCCCAAGATTACACAGCCAGGAGGGGACAAGAGCTCAGTTATTCCCACCAGACTCTGTGTTCTGGGAGGCAGGCTCAGGTCTACTTTGCTCACACTAACACCAGTGCCTCCTGGGCCCCTGGCCTGCCTGCAGTGTTTGCCCCATGAGTTTCTGCCCTTCTAATCCATCCACCTAGATCCCTCTTTCTTAGAGGATTGGTACCTGGAATGGATCCCCTCCTGGGTGAACTATATGTTGCCTGACAAGTGAGGATCCTTCAGCCTGCCATTGAAGGACTCTAGAGGTGACATAAGCCTTGCTACCACCCTTGGTGACCCACCCAGCTGGCTCTGTTACCACTGACATTCACTTGTGGCCACCTCCACCTGGGCCTGGGGCTGTGGAAGGACAAGGAGATCCAGCTGAATCTATCCTGGCCATCATATGGGCACTGAGAGTTGTCATGTCTATAGTTGTTTTTAATTGTTAAGACAACTTGTGCCAAATTCAAAAGGTACAAAAGGATATTTAGAGAAAAGCAGGGCTTCAGCCTGAAGACAAGCCTGTTGGCTGTGTCTCACTTCTTTCTCTGCAAACACCTAGATATCCAAAAAGAACTATTGGTCAACTCCGTTAATTTTTATTTTTATTTATTTTTAGTTTTAGTTTTTTGAGACAGGGTCTCACTCTGTTGCCTAAACTGGAGTGCAGTGTTGTAGTCATGGCTTATTGGAGCCTTGACTTGCTGGGTTTATGTGATCCTCTCTCCAGTAGCTGGGATTACAGGCACATGCCACCATGCCTGGCTAGTTTTTTAAATTTTTTGTAGAGACAGGGTCTCACTTTGTTGCCCCAGCTAGTAAACTACTGAGCTCAAGTGATCCTCCCTCTTTGGCCTCCAATCTTTGCTAAGATTACAGGAGTGAGCCACCGGATACAGGATACAGAGTTGTTTCAACTCCCAGATCCAAATCCAGCACTTCCTTCCTGTAGTAATATTGGGCAAGCTGCTTAAGCTCTCTCAGTGTCAGTTCTTTCATCTATAAAGCTAGCCTGACGGGAGCATCTGCCTCATAGAGGCGTGATCAAGATTAGGTAACTTAATCCGCAGAAACTTCTTAGCATGATACGCTGACACTGAATAACTGTTAGCTGCTGTTATCAGTTTGTTTAATTATTTACATTTTATGTACTTTTTCTAAAAGACTAGGCTGAGCGTGGTGGCTCTTGCCTGTAATTCCAACATTTTGGGAGGCTAAAATGGGAGGACTGCTTGAGCCTAGTAGTTTGAGACCAGCCAGGGCAACATGAAAAGACCTTGTCTCTATAAAAAAAAAAAAATACAAAAATTGGCTGGGCACAGTGGCTCACGCCTGTAATTCCAGCACTTTGGGAGGCCAAGGTGGGCAGATCACGAGGTCAGGAGATCGAGACCATCCTGGCTAACACGGTGAAACCCCATCTCTACTAAAAATACAAAAATTAGCCGGGCGTGGTGGCGGGTGCCTGTAGTCCCAGCTCCTCGTGAGGCTGAGGCAGAAGAATGGCAGGAACCCGGGAGGCGGAGCTTGCAGTGAGCCGAGATTACATCACTGCGCTCCAGCTTGGGCAACAGAGCGAGACTCTGTCTCCAAAAAAAAAAAAAAATTAGGCCAGCGCAGTGGCTCACACCAGTAATCCCAGCACTTTGGGAGGCTGAGGCAGGTGGATCACAAGGTCGGGAGTTCAAGACCAACCTGGCCAAGATGGTGAAACCCTGTCTCTACTAAAAATACAAAAATTAGCGGGGCATGGTGGCAGGTGCCTGTAATCCCAGCTACTTGGGAGGCTGAGGCAGGAGAATCTCTTGAACCCAGGAGGCAGAGGTTGCAGTGAACCAAGATCGCGCCACTGCACTCTAGCCTGGGTGACACAGAGCAAGACGCTATCTCAGAAAAAAAAAAAAAATTAGGCACAGTGGCAGGAGGATGAGATGGGAGGATGGCTTAAGTCCAGGAGGCAGAGGTTGCAGTGAGCCAAGATCGTGCCACTGCTCTCCAGCCTGGGCAAGAGAGCCAGACCCTGTCTCAGAAAAGAAAGGCCAGGCACGGTGGCTCACGTCTATAATCCCAGCACTTTGGGAGGTCAAGTCGGGCGGATCACTTGAGGTTGGGAGTTTGAGACCAGCCTGAACAACATGGAGAAACCCTGTCTCTACTAAAAATACAAAATTAGCCGGGCATGGTGGTGCATGCCTGTAATCCCAGCTACCTTGGGAGGCTGAGGCAGGAGAATCTCTTGAACCTGGGAGGCAGAGGTTGCGGTGAGCCGAGATCGTGCCATTGCACTCCAGCCAGGGCAACAACAGTGAAACTCCATCTCAAAAAAAAAAAAAAGAAAAGAAAAGAAAAAATTAGCTGACTGTGGCATGTGCTACTGGGAAGGCTGAGATGGGAGGATTGCTTGGGCCCAAGTCAAGGCTGCAGTAAACTGTGTTGGTGCCATTGCACTCCAGCCTTGGCAACAGAGTGAGACCCTGTCTCAACAACAACAACAATAATCTGCCGAGAGGGGCAGATCACTTGAGGTCCAGAGTTCGAGACCAGCCTGGCCAACATGGTGAAACCCCGTCTATACCAAAAAATATAAAAATTAGCCAGGCATGATGGTGCACACCTGTAGTCCCAGCTACTTGGGAGGCTGAGACACAAGAATTGCTTGAGCCCCAGAGGTGGAGGCTGCAGCGAGCCAAGATTGTGCCATTGCACTACAGCCTGGGTGGCAGAGTGAGACCCTGTCTCAAAAAAAAAAAAAGACTAGAAGGAAATACACTAATGTATGAACAGTGAAAGATCCTGAATGGTAGGAAAATCTTGATATTTCTTTCTACTTTTCTGTGCTTTCCAAGTTTTTTTTACAATGAATATGTCTTCCTTTTATAATCAGAAAAGGAACAGTGTATATATATATATATATATATATATATTTTTTTTTTTTTTTTTTTTTTTTGAGACGGAGTCTCGCTGTGTCGCCCAGGCTGGAGTGCAGTGGCCGGATCTCAGCTCACTGCAAGCTCTGCCTCCCGGGTTTTTACGCCATTCTCCTGCCTCAGCCTCCCGAGTAGCCGGGACTACAGGCGCCCGCCACCTCGCCCGGCTAGTTTTTTGTATTTTTTAGTAGAGACGGGGTTTCACCGTGTTAGCCAGGATGGTCTCGAACTCCTGACCTCGTGATCCGCCCTTCTCGGCCTCCCAAAGTGCTGGGATTACAGGCTTGAGCCACCGCGCCCGGCCAGTATATATTTTTTTGAAAGGAATTTTCAGAATCCAATTTCTAGAGATTTGAGTTAGTGGAGTCCTGATAAAGGACACTTTCCTTTACTTAGTACCACTGTTGATTATGCCTGTGACCCTGCCAAAAGCCATCGATGTTGCCTTTGCCCCACAGGAGAACCCAAAGGATGGCTGCTGACATGCAAAGGAAGAGAAGCAGTGAATGCCCTGATGGCACATTGACTCCTTCTGATGGACACAGTGTGGAGAGAGCTGAGAGCCCCACACCAGGACTGGCCCAGGGAATGGAGCCAGGTATGGGCAAGTGTACAGCCTCAGCCAGCTGCCAACCAGAGCAGGCTCCGGGGGGGTGGGGGCAGAAATTAGCATTCCCAACCACTTTTTGCTTTCCACTTATTCATGCATTTGTCAGTCACTCATTGGATATTTGTCAGGTTCTGGGGAAAAGGCAGGAGGCCAGGCTCATTCTACATGTGGCTTTCCTCTCCACTTCGTATTACGCTGTTCGCCCTGAGCTTTCTGGCTGCCATTGTGGGCTCTTCTTCTGTTCCCTGTGTCTACAGCACACCTCCCCGGCTCCTTCTCCCCTCCTCACAAGTTAGGCCTGCTCTGACCATGCTCTGTATAGGACACTAATTATTTCATAATTTTATCTCTTTATGCATATATTGCCCATCTCTCTCTTCCACAAGATTGTGAACACTGAGCATAGGGCAGTTATATCCCCAGTGCCTGATACAGGGCTGAATTCGTAAGAGAGACTCAAAATATATCTGTTAAACTATTTTGTCAAAAAACCAATAAAGGAAGACTGACCTGGTCCCTGCTGTGAGGCAGTCACAGGCTGTGGAGCCATTACAAGGGGTCAGTCAGAAGCTATGGCCTAAGTAGGGTAGGGGAGCTTTCTCCCAGAGAGATTCATTGAGTATGGGTGGTGCTCCAGACACAGGGTGAGGTGCTACGTTCCTGCACCTTGCTGGGTACCACTGTAGCTGGGGAGAAGGACGATAATTGGCAAGTGCCACAAGAGAAATCAAAGAGGGACATATAGAGTGCCTGGGGTTGGAAGTCAGTAACTAACATCTTCCCTGAAAGCTGAAGTGTGACAATTAGCCAGCCACGTGGGGAGACAGGAGACAGCTGACAGCAGGTGTGGAGCTCCCGAGGCAGGTGGGGGCATGTTGAAACTGTCTAAGAGCAGATCTTGGCCAGTGTGACCAAGATGGGCAAGGGAGTAGGGTGGGAGATGGGAATGAGAGGTAGGCAGATACCAGCCACCACTGCTGCCATGAGTGGTTTCGGTCTTCTTTCCAGTATGATGGGAGGAGACTGGTGGGCTGTAAGTTTCAGAGAAGCATCATCCATGGCAGACAGTGGCAGAAGGGAACAGTGGCTTGACCCTGACAAGTCAGGCAGTCATGCTGGAGTGACCACGTTAGGCACCTTGCTGGTAGGAGTGTCTGCCAGTAGCTACCCCTCTAAGCACCAGTGCTTTTGGCCTGCAGGTGCTGGGCAGGAGGGTGCCATGTTCGTCCATGCCCGTTCCTACGAGGACCTGACTGAGTCAGAGGATGGGGCAGCTTCTGGGGACAGCCCCAAGGAGGGTGCCAGGGGTCCCCCGCCGCTGCCTGCAGACATGCGTCAGATCAGCCAGGACTTTAGCGAGCTAAGCACCCAGCTGACGGGTGTGGCCCGGGACCTGCAGGAGGAGATGCTGCCAGGAAGCTCTGAGGATTGGCTGGACCCCCCAGGGGCAGTTGGCCGACCAGCCACAGAGCCCCCCAGGGAGGGCACAGCCGAGGGGGATGAGGAGGATGCCACGGAGGCATGGCGCCTGCACCAGAAGCATGTCTTTGTGCTGAGTGAGGCAGGGAAGCCTGTGTACTCCCGCTATGGGTCTGAGGAGGCACTTTCCAGCACTATGGGTGTTATGGTGGCCCTGGTGTCCTTCCTGGAGGCAGACAAGAACGCCATCCGCTCCATCCATGCAGGTGAGCCACCTGGAGAGGGAATGGGGTGGGCTCCCCTGGCCAAGGTTCATTCATAGCAGGTTTTGGACCCCTGCAGACCAGAGGGCTGGGATGTGCTATGTGACTGAGGGTAAGCCCCTCTACCTCTCTGAGCCTCAAGGTCCTCACCTGAACAGAGGATAACAACACTGCTGGCCTCATGGGGCTGTGGTGAGGACCAAAGATGCCTCTGACATGGGCTTTGCCTTTGGAGAGAGTGAGAATCTCCCTGGGGAGGTGACAAAAAGAAAGAAAGAAAAAAAAATACATATATGTATCTCCCAGGTCCTGAGCTCCACCCAGCCAGCCCTTGCCAGTTGACTTAGCACTTAGCATAAGAATGTGTGTTTCAGAGGGAGCTAGTCTTTGAAACAAGTGGCAGGGATAGGCCCTGAGCCCTCAGGGAGAAGGAGCAATGGGTTTTTATCCTGAACGTCCTTAAGCCCCTACTGTGCGCAGAGCTTTGAGCGAGGAAAGGATGGGCGAAGCGGTGTTCGGAGGGAGCTGCGGCTGAGGCTGATATCCCTCTTTCCCATCCCGCCCTCAGATGGCTACAAGGTAGTATTCGTGCGCCGGAGCCCGCTGGTGCTAGTGGCAGTGGCTCGCACACGGCAGTCGGCACAAGAGCTGGCGCAGGAGCTGCTCTACATCTACTATCAGATCCTGAGCCTTCTTACCGGTGCGCAGCTGAGCCACATCTTCCAGCAGAAGCAGAACTATGACCTACGGCGCCTGCTCTCGGGCTCAGAACGCATCACCGACAACCTGTTGCAGCTCATGGCACGAGACCCCAGCTTCCTGATGGGGGCGGCACGGTGCCTGCCCCTCGCAGCAGCCGTGCGCGATACTGTGAGTGCCAGCCTACAGCAGGCACGGGCGCGCAGCCTGGTCTTCTCCATCCTGCTGGCCCGCAACCAGCTCGTGGCACTTGTGCGCCGAAAGGACCAATTTCTGCACCCCATCGACCTGCACCTGCTTTTCAACCTCATTAGTTCCTCCTCGTCCTTCCGCGAGGGCGAGGCCTGGACGCCCGTGTGCCTGCCCAAATTCAACGCAGCCGGCTTCTTCCATGCACATATCTCTTACCTAGAGCCTGACACCGACCTCTGCCTGCTGTTTGTCTCCACTGACCGTGAGGACTTCTTTGCAGTCTCTGACTGCCGCCGCCGCTTCCAGGAGCGCCTTCGCAAGCGTGGAGCCCACCTGGCCCTGCGAGAGGCGCTGCGCACACCCTACTACAGCGTTGCCCAAGTGGGCATCCCTGACCTGCGTCACTTCCTCTATAAGTCAAAGAGCTCGGGACTCTTCACCAGGTGAGGGAGGGCCTTGAGGGCACTGCTGTAGGGGGACAGGGACATGTGGAGTTGGGAGGCTGTTTGCTCCTGAGCTCTGAGATGTAGCCATGAAGCTGCCCCCATCTTTGGAAGCAGACCAGTGTGCTGGGTCTGTTTTACTCTGGCACCAGAGACTCACACTCTCCATCACCCTATGAGCATACCCCTCTCTACTTTATTACCCAGAAGGCCTGGAAATGCCCAGTATACCCAGGGAAGGAAACTGGAACAGAGGTCTCTCAGGTCCCTTGTCCTAGAGCAACTCTACTTTAGGCGTCAGTTTGGTCCAGCTCAGGAAGCAGAGCCCTCCTCTACTCCCTCCCCCAGCAGAGGGGATGGGAAGATATGGCCTTCCTTTGTCGCTTTTGGCCCACAGGATTCCTAGTTCACTTTCCTCTACTCCAGATCTGTCACTCTGTCTTGGACATCTAAACTCAACCTGGCTTCTCCAAAGAGGGGTCACCAAAGACACCATGAGCTTAGGGGGTAAGAGGGGACACAGCTCTAGTCTCAGTGGGCCCAGCTCTGTCCTGGAGTGCCTGCTGTGGTGGGGAGACAATGCCCTGTCCTAAGGGAGTATTTGGAGGGTAAGACATATGATAGAGTCTTCCTGGATAGGAAGAGTGTTTCTAAATATCTAGAGAAGACAGTGGAAGTCATTCCTTTGCAAACCTACTCCCCCCAACCCTGTCTGCAGCCCTGAGATTGAGGCCCCGTACACCAGTGAAGAGGAGCAGGAGCGGCTGCTGGGCCTCTACCAGTACCTGCACAGCCGTGCCCACAATGCCTCTCGCCCACTCAAGACCATTTACTACACGGGCCCCAACGAGAACCTCCTGGCCTGGGTAAGGCAGCCCTGGGATGGGCTGGGCTTCACAGAGGTCCTAGGTGTGGGCCATGAGGGGCATCTAACCTAGATGACGACCCTTTGCCCCTTCTCCAGGTGACAGGCGCCTTTGAGCTCTACATGTGTTACAGCCCCCTGGGGACCAAGGCATCAGCTGTCAGTGCCATCCATAAGCTGATGCGCTGGATCCGCAAAGAGGAAGACCGCCTCTTCATTCTCACGCCCCTCACCTATTGATGGGAATGTGTGCAGGCTCGGCCTTCCCAGGCACACTGGGTGTGGGAAGCCGTAGGAGCCTCCAGATGGGGGCTGGCCTCTCTTGCCCAGCCAGCAGGCAGGGACTGTGGGTTGGTGAGTGCATTAAAGTGCTTTGGGGAAGACACTTGTCAAGCCCTGTCACTTGTCCCTTCGCCCATCCACCCTCACTCACATACAGACACTGGATCCTCCTCCCTAGCTCCTGCACAGGGGCACAGGCACATTTGAGCCCCTCTTCTCCCTCCCTTGCAGCAGCATGAGGCCACACACATTCTCAGTTGGATCTTGGGCTGGGGCTGTTTTGGTTCGGCTGAAGTCTACCATATGTAAAAGGCTCTCAGGCACCATACTGCCCTACCCTACCCCCACCCCCATACTCAGTCTGAGCTTCTGCTGTCTGCCTCTCTTATCACTCCTGGGAGGGGCCCCCACTGCATGCCACAAAAGACTACCCAACCACCTTGGGAGCCCTCGCTGTGGCTCTGTTTAATGGGTTGCTGTAGTTCAGCAGGAGCTGAGCTGAGTAAGATAGAGATGGTCAAAATGGGGGGAATCTGAGCCCTGGTACTGGAGGGAGCCCCTGGTGAGGCAACTCAGTCTTCAGCTGAAATTCAGAATCTAGCCTCCCTTTAGCTGCAGGCCTCTGAGGAAACTGTCCCTGCTTAGGCCTTCCCATGAAGGGCTGTGTGCCTCAGTTCTCCTACCTCAGCCAGTGCAATCCTCCAAATGGTCCCCAAGAGTGAGCTGAGGGTCTGAGAGAAGGCCCAGTTGACCCTCTAAGGCAGTGGGCCTGTCATAATAAGAGCTAATGCTACTGCGTGCACTGGGCTCTCCTTAGTCACCCTAGTCCCTGGTATGGCATAGGCAGACCTGCATGGGGCACCATGGACATCCAGGAGGCTCCGTAGTGAAAGCCGAGCCCCATTTACTCTACCACAGGACCTAGGGCACAGTGCAGAAAGCTTCCACTTTGCTGCTGGGGGATCTTCTAGTTCTGGCCCCAGGGAGCACAAGGCCTAGGAAGTACTTATTGAAGAAAACTGTCCTCTGAATGTGGTCTTCAGACTGTCAGAGAGAATCACCCTCATGCAGTTTCTGAGAGTTGGGCCAGTATTTTCTGCCACTAAAATCAAGCCATGTTGAAGAATAAGCCTGTGTGGGTGGCATGGGCCCAGGGTACACTGGAACAGTTGTATTTATTGTCCCAGAAAATGGCAGCACAGCCCCTGCCCTTGGCCCCACTGTGGCTCACATTGGAATGGACATGGCAGCAGGCTACCAGCCCAGATTCCAAAGCCTCTGGGGAGCAGCTATAGGTTTGGTGGGTGCTGTTCACCCTGCCACACATGCCCTGGTTCTCTTTTATGCCTGTTTTCTGCTTTTGTTCCTCTTCTGCTCCTAGTAAGAACATCAAACCACTGCCTCTGGGGCCTGGGTGATGCCAGGCTAGCTGTCCCTGACTGTTACTGGCATTCTGGTCAATAGTGAGCCCCTAAGTGCCTCTTTTGCTTGCCCTGACTCTTGTAGGTTTCTGTTTCTCTGTAGTTCAGCATATATTCTGGGGAGACCATAGTTGGACCATAGTTGGATACAGACCTAGGACTGTAGGCACCTAGGAGCGTGAGGTATACCTGCTTGGAGATCACGGGTGGGACGACAGGCAAATAAGGAAGGTGTTCCTAGTGAAGGAGCCAGCATGTGCCAATGGAAGGACATGGTAAGAACCCTGTACGGGCCGGACATGGTGGCTCACACCTGTAATCCCAACACTTTGGGAGGCCAAGGTGGGTGTATCACTTGAAGTCAGGAATTCGAGACCAGCCTGGCCAACATGGTGAAACCCTGTCTCTACTAAAAATACAAAAATTAGCTGAGTGTGGTGGCGTGCACCTGTAGTCCCAGCTACTCAGGAGGCTGAGGCAGGAGAATTGCTTGAACCCAGAAGGCGGAGGTTGTAGTGAGCCGAGATTGCGCCACTGCACTCTAGCCTGGGCGACAGAGAGAGACTCCGTCTCAAAAAAAAAAAAGGCCGGGCGCGGTGGCTCAAGCCTGTAATCCCAGCACTCTGGGAGGCCGAGGCGGGCGGATCACGAGGTCAGGAGATCGAGACCATCCTGGCTAACACGGTGAAACCCCGTCTCTACTAAAAAAAAAAAAATACAAAAAACTAGCCGGGCGAGGTGGCGGGCGCCTGTAGTCCCAGCTATTCGGGAGGCTGAGGCAGGAGAATGGCGTAAACCCGGGAGGCGGAGCTTGCAGTGAGCTAAGATCCGGCCACTGCACTCCAGCCCGGGCGACAGAGCGAGACTCCGTCTCAAAAAAAAAAAAAAAAAAAAGGAACCTAATATAACTTGTTTGCAGTGAAGCTGGAGGAGTCCATAAGGGCTGGGGTTCTCAAACTCCAGGTAACCTGCAGTGTGATGTGGTCATATTACAGTTGGAGAGACTACCTTGCTACTGCTAAGGTGATCTTGGGATTAGAGAAAGAGGCTAGACCTAGTCCTCTAGAACAGTGTTCAGAGGGGACTGAGAGCTCAAGGAGGGAAAAGTGGCTAGCATTCCTTCAAGCCGTCAGATGCTAAGGGCAGTCGAGCAGGTTCTTAGCCAGCTATGGGCCAGGCCTTGTGAGTTTACCTTGGGGGTGCCCTTGTACTTGGCACTTAAGAGCCCCATTAGCTGACTTCCCCCACACACCTTGACTGCTCCCTCCTACAGAGGCGGCAGATGGCGAGACGGGGAAGGGGTGCTCCTGTGTACCCGTGCTGTTGAGAACCAAGGCTGCCTTAGAGGGGACCTTAGCCTGGGGACAGCCATTAGCGTGGCCACACGGTGGCAGCAGAGAACTAACGAATGGTTGCTGCAACCCCACCCCCAAAAAGGGGTGGGTGGGGTGATTTAAGAGGTCTTGTGAAGTCTCCTCCCAACCCCCAGAGATCCTTCTGAAAGTCTGGAGGTGGGATTTGGGTCACCAGAACCCCTGTCTGGGCGCCAGGCTGAGAATGTTTCATTTTAGTTTTGCCCTGCCTATCTTTAGATGTGTTGACTGTGGAATGCAGGAACCATGCCACGGTTTTCTCAGGGTGTTTATTCATTTCCTGGCCAATTCTGCTTTGGAAAAGGAGTGTCTTTTGTGTCACCTCAGGGCACAGTATCAACCCTGCACTGGGTGTGGCTGCCCCCAGTTCCATTTCCTCTTTCAGTCTTCAGGTACTCATGGAGCTCCAGGCTGGAAGGAGGGGGAAGTCCTGCACTGGGGATGGAGGCAGAGTGAAGTATCCAGAGTAAACTGTGCTGGGGTGGGTGTAGCACTGGGTCTGTGGAACCCAGGAGAGGGGCCTGGCAAAGTCTGGATCAAAAAGGCTTCCTGGAGGAGGTGCCATTTAGGTGGCAAAAGGAGGAAAGGGAAAGAGTGCTCCTGGAAGGAGGAACAGCACTTACAAAGGTTAGGTTAGGAAGGGGATGCAGGCGCAGAAGTATGGACTGAAAAGAGAGTGAGGAGATATAGATACCCAAGCCAGGCTAAATCCTGTTGGACCGAGGGTTCCTCTCTCCCCTAGAATCCTTATCCTCTACAGCCTTGGGGCCCATAGTTCACAGCCCAAAGCCACCCTGTGGACCTTCCCCTTCTTCCAGGGTCCAGGCCCACCTAGCTGAGGGGGCTGTCAGGCTAAGGTTGTCCCCCAGGGGCCTCAGTCTAGTGTTGGTAGGACCAGTTACCAAAGGGCAGCTGCTGAGATCCAGGTGTGGGACTAGGCTCCCCCACCCCCACTCCTCATAAATAGAAGAGAGAACTCTGGGAAATCACCTAATCGGAACTACATTTTCTTTTTCTTTTTCTTTTTTTTTTTTGGAGATGGAGTCTCGCTCTGTCGCCCAGGCTGGAGTGCAGTGGCACAATCTCAGCTCACTGCAACCTCCACCCCCCAAGTTCAAGCAATTCATTCTCCCTGCTCAACCTCCTGAGTAGCTGGGATTACAGGTGCCCACCACCACACCCGGCTAATTTTTGTTTTTAGACCATCTTGTTTCACCATATTGGCCAGACTGGTCTTGAACTCCTTACCTCAAGTGGTACACCTGCCTCGGCCCCCCAAAGTGCTGGGATTACAGGCGTGAGCCACCACGCCCGGTCATACATTTTATTTTTAAATTTTTAGCAGTTTTTTTGTTTTGTTGACTTTTGTTATGTTGCCCAGGCTGGTCTTGAACTGCTAGCCTCAAGCAATCCTCCTGCCTTGGCCTCTCAAAGAAGTGCTAGGATTACAGGCATGAGCCACAGTGCCCAGCCCAGAACTACATTCTCACATTCTCATTGCAGAGAATAAGATCCAGCAAGGCCTACAGAGCAGGTTGGAAGTGTCCTGAGAGCCAAAGCTCATGATTCCTCCATATCAGGGGTGCACTGGGCAGAGCCAGGAAGGGGGAGTCCCCAAGGCCCATATTGTGGATTGTAACCCCATTATACAGCTTCTATATACTGAGGCTGCAGAGGAGGTACCAGAATTAGGGTTGGGCCTCCACTTATGTGACTCTCTGACTCTGAGGTCCAGTCAGCAAGGCCAGATCCCATCCTAAGACCCTTAGGGCCCTAGGAGAGCAGGGCATAACACACCTTCCTCTGAGACCATCTTGTTGCTGATAGCTCAGGAGAAGCACATGGAAGAATGGTCCCCACCAGGCGCGGTGGCTCACGCCTATAATCCCAGCAGTTTGGGAGGCCGAGGGGGGCAGATCACCTGAGGTCAGGAATTTGAGACCAGCCTGGCCAACATGGTGAAACCCGTCTCTACTAAAAATACAAAATTAGCCAGGTGTGATGCACGCCTGTAATCCCAGCTATTCAGGAGGTTGAAGCAGGAGAATCGCTTGAACCTGGGAGGCGGAGCTTGCAGTGAGCCGAGATCGCGCCATGGCACTCCAGCCTAGGTCACAGAGCAAAAAAAAAAAAAAAAAAAAAAAAGGACAGTCCTTTCCCACAAAGGGTGGCGCCCCATAACATCTCTTGTTAAGTGCCCCCACATCTCCCCTCTGGTCTTCCACACAATCCTGGTCTCTGTTCCCCACATGGCGGGCCCCCAGGAAGCCTCTGGGCACTAGCCTCTGAGGGTGTTGCTACTAAGTGCA